AAAATCATTTTTTTTTATTCAATTACTTAGCATTCATTTGCACGTATTTCAGGTATATTTTAAATACACATAATTTAAAATTTTATTGATGAAGTTGCTCTATATGTAAGTGTAATAAATTATCAATAATAATACTAACTGAAAGAAAATAGAAGGTTTCAGTACCCCCAGTTATTTCATTGAAATTATGTGCTTAAAACTCATGCTATTTTTACCAGATTCGTCAGGTGGCATAAGACTGATATCATGATTGGCCCATTGGCCAAATTGACTTAGATGATAGTTATTAGAGTCTGGGTAATCCAAGGATTTTGGTAAAAATAATTGTAACTGTAATTGACGAGGTCTGGGCAACTGAGAACCATCTACTTGTTTACGAACTTCATGATTACCTAAGGAGCATACATATTATTAGAATTTGTAAATTATATAAAACAAAGCTATATAATTTAACACAAAATATAAATCAACATATTAGCATTTTAACTTTCGAGGCGTGATGATTCTAACGTTGTTATGATTTTTTTTTCAAATGTTTGTCTTAGAGTGTTATACAAAAATGTAATAAAATAAAGTCGAAAAAACATCGTTTAGGAGTTATCACGGAAAAAACTTCAAAACTTTGGTTTATCAAAAATTCAAAAAAACTAAAAAGTACCAATAAAAGTTAATATCACTGGTTAAAAGAGAAGAATAAGTCCAAGTAATTATACTAAACATTTTAGTTTTTCTAAATTAATTTAACTATCATATGAAAACATTTTTATAACTAATGTAAAACCAATATTACATTCATCATTTACCTAAATATCAAATTCTAGTTCCAGTAATCCAGTATAGRTACTAGTATATATTTAATAAACTCATTTACACATCCACATACAAATAGTGGAAGCCATCTATACGTATGATATTAGTTTTGGATATTTCTCAATTACCATTGCAATGTTTTAGTATTTTGAAATGTCCACTGTCTAAACTCACCATCATTATACGCAGCTTCAGCAAGTCTGATGTATGGAGTTTCAGACGACCCCCATAACGGGTTCATTAAGTTATTACAAGTACCATCCGATGTCCTGTAAATAGCATTTTGGTTGCATGTCACTTTGGGAGCACACTCTTTGTAATATATGATGTTTGAATTAGGACCATTTCCATAAAAAATCATAGGGTCCTTATTTTTAATCTAAAGAGTTAATATGAAAAAGTTAAAACAGTCAAGTAGTTTTTCTGGTATCGGATAAAAAATATAATTTTATAATTATATATAGGTACGTTATTGTTATATTTATTAAAATCACAATACAATTCATTGATTTAAAGTCAAAACCCAGTTCAAAATAAACGATACATATAACGTAAAAGCATAAACCAAAATTATGAATTATATTTTTTTAAATGTAAGTAGGTAAAAATATAAGATGTTGTTTATACCTACACAATAAATACATAACTTAGCCCGAAAAAAATAGCTAGTATATATAAAATTCAATAATTGATATAATTCAATTTAAGCTTAATAATTGCATTAGAAATCTGTTAAAATTCTAATCTTAAGAATGATAAACGAAAAGAATTACATTTTTTAAAGGGGACTTTTCCGCCCGTGAAAATTAAATTAAGTAATAATAATAATACATTTTTTTTTTGTGTCATTTAACCAAAGACAAACTGAAAAAGCAACACATTTTTTTTTTCATTTCAAGGACAAAATTCATGTGTGAGCCACCCATAATGCGTTTTACATTTTTCACTTCCTTAGTTTCATAACAATTTCCGAAAAATTATTTTAGCACTAACTTTATAAAGTATAGATTTAGCTAAGCCATTTTTTTTTTTCAAATTGAATGTACATTTAAATCTATTTATTCATTATTAATTAATTATTACTTACTCGAATACTTGATGAAGTTCCCAACACTGTGACGATACATAACCATACAGACAAATATGACATCCTCGGATAGACGAATTTAAAACTTAGTAATAGAAAACATTTAGGTACTTATTAAACATTTTTTATAATACATTATGTTTGCGGGGTTCATATAGTAAGCATTATACTTATAGGTAAAATATCTAAACAAAATTTAGTTTATATCACCTTGTGATTTGAATATGATGTAATGATAAGTTAATTTCATTAATTTAGACTTTTTTAATAACTAAAGTACAAAATTAAGGAGTGAAAGAAATGGTTTATCTAGTTMCCTCCSTCCCATCACATACTATACACAAAATCCTTCAAAAGCATCTTTAAACGTTGTAGAACGTGAATAAATTTGGTATTCRTTTTTATTTAGTAATTATTAATTAATAAAAACTTAGGGGGTAGGAACAACCTCTAATGAAATATTTAACTTAACCCAAACATTATTAGTTCTCAAAGTTTTTTCAATCAAAATTCTTAAAACATTCGTTACGGCACTTTATATGTACAAATATAATATGGAGTTATATCAATACAATAATAATTTAAWGATTTAAAAATGCATTATTTAAACACAGTCTATAGTAATGATTTATGTAATTTTAATAATGTTGTTATTGTCGATAATCGATAGCAATTGAATATTTTCTCTTGATAAAAAGTCTCTCTGGACATTTTTCCTATTTGTGCTAATATAATTAGTCATATTCCCCTGCAAAATGTTTAAATCACATTCTTGTTACAGACTTATATTATTAGGTTTGTAATTATATTATATTTTAATAATAGTTTAATATGTTACCAATAAACACTACGGCGTTATAGAATGACGACATTATTTTTATCTATTTTACAAAAGCTGATAATATTGATAATTCACTAAAATGTTAAATATTATATATCTTATGTTTTTAGAAAAATATCTATACTAAACAAACAGTTTTAACAAAATCTATAAATATTAAATTCTAAAATTAAAATTTCACTCAGAATTATTTTAAAACAGTTTTACAACATATTTTTTTAAAGAAAAAATTCATACTTACAAAAAACACACAGTTTTAAATATATAATAAATAATTCAGAAATTATATTATCTTGTCTAAATTCTAAAAATTATACTTTATTCATTGTAAAAATAATGAACTTTACTTCTACTTAGTTTAAATGTAGGTACTCTTAGAATAACATTAATCGCATAACTCGATGGTTAACAACAGTATAATTATAATTTATAATTATCGACAAACAATATCAACATATTACTATGCTTAAGCAAATAATTTTTCACATGTCAATCAGACGTGTATGTTATAAGCTTACATATTGCATATAATTACATTTGACAAGTGTTTTTGTTAATGTTAATTCTCTTGTAATTAATGATTACCAACGAGATAAATTCGTAGATAGTAACTGTTGTAAAATCAGGAGAAAATTAAATGAACTATTAAAATCCTTCATGAAATATTATATTAGGAGGATAGAAATATAATTTGCACCACCAATTCATCAAATTTTTCAATTTAAAATTTGAATTATCTAAAATAATCAGCGTTTTTGATAAAACTAAAAGTGTAAGGCAAGTAATTCACCGTAAATATATAAAATATAAACAGTGTTGGGGAGTATAACTTAATTTATACAGTATTCGGGACGCTGCTGGTTTTTTGTAACACACTAACGCTAAAACTACTTCCAGCTAAAAAGAAGCTCGCTACTTCTAACGCTATTGTCTAAATGTAGCACACTAATTTTTCACTACACTTTTTAAAAATGTTCTCATTAAAAACTAGTGATTGTAGTTTGTACTGCTTTAACATAATAATATAGTCACTGAATGTCTGGACGGGATTTAACTACGTGAGGCAGGCGTGGATCCATAGAACATACTCGTATTTACGGAGGACAGATTTCTTGGCTAAACTTGGAGCTTAAGCTTTTACTATTTTTTACATAAACATATTTTAMATTTTGTCATACATATCAATGGCCAATAACATCTGGAAGGATTTCAAGATATCACTTGACAAAGCTAGGTAAGTTAGTCACTTTTTTCAACTAGTTAAATTTAAGTTACTTTAATATACAAAGTAACTAACTTAAAATATAATTTTGTTAGAAGTTAGTTTGGTAAAAAGAGTAACTTAAGTTAGAGTATAAGTTAGGAGTTTGTTTTATTACTATAAAATATATTTAAAAAACGTGGATTAAACTGCTTTGGTTAAATCAAGTGTATAATATGGCATTTTATATAAAATATTAACTTTTTGGTGGATTTGAGACATGCAAATGATGTTAGTGGTTCACGAGTCGTAGACATCGGTGTTGATTTATCCGAATTTTACGCATCCGTTGAATGGGATATTTTAAAGATTCCAGCAATAAGGTAAGCCATTAGAATATTATATATTATTTTATATTCACATAATTAGCACCATCTTATCATATAGGTAGGTAACTGTTATGTTGTATTATTATACRTTTGATTTGAATAGCATAAAGCGCCATAAACTGATACTCACTACATAGTAATAAATTTAATTATTGGTGTAATCGTGTAGATCGTATTTTTGTCCATGGTAAAAAGTTATACTGTTTTTATGCATTACATATTATTGTCTAAAAGTTAAATGTTTATAAATATGAAAAAAGCAACTAATATTAATAAAACACAGTAACAAGTACTGTTAAACATAATTAAATTTAACCATTCTTAAAATCCTTTCTTCTGCTATTATTGTGTTTAAAATAAATTTCTCAACAGGAAAAAAAGTCCTAACTACTCAATAGTCATACTATGTAGAGTTAGATCATGAAAATGAAATAAAAAATGGCGATTCAACACCAAATATGTAGAATTGTAGAACGTAAGAAATAATTTTCGTAAATAACTATATTAAAGAAATATCTCACCTGAATTAATGGAAATAAGCGATTTCTTCTAATGATAGGTAATTAATATCTTTCGATTTTTTTCTGTTTTTATAATAATAATAATATGTATTTGCATCATCAAATAATTTTTACAATAAATAATTGATAAATAATAATAATAGTAGTACTTGATAATCCTCCTATAAAGTATGGTCCGTCTTAACTTTTTAAGTTCGTCATTAAACAGTGTTTTTTATGTTATGATGCGTATCCCGTTTATTTCACTATTACCTACCTCACGCATATTATGTACCTAGATTGTACCATTATACATATGCATTAAGCTTAATGAATCTTTTGAAACCATCGCATAATTATTAATTTATTATTTACTTATTTACTTTACTCTCAACATAGATTCTATAAAATATAAAGTRATTGTAGGCTCAATGTAACGTTTTGATCGCAGAATTTATTTGTAAATTTTTACAAGAGAATGCTCTTTTTGTTTATTACAATCAGATTTATTATATATTTTCATATCACAGAAATGAGAAATATTATACTTGCTGCGAAGAACCATACTTAGACATTACATTCAATATTAAGATGTAGAGGAAAACGCTATTTTATACGGTGAATTTGATCATACTTTGTATGGGGATATCGTTTCTCACAACACTTGTGTTTTACCTACCATCAGATAGTAACGAAAAAGTAAGTGACTATTGAAAATATATAGGTATGTTATAAGTTATAATATGCACAACACACTTAATACATGTAAATAATAGTATAATGAAATAAATGTTAAGTTAGTTTAAGTATTTCAATTCTTCTATCGCTGACTGTGTTCTTTTTGCTGCTAGCCGAAATTATTCCACCTACGTCACTATTTGTGCCACTTTTGGGAATATTTGTGCTATTTACGATGATACTTGACACGCTAAGGTGAGTTTACTATCGATACTGAGTATTGTGTCACGTAAGCTGTGTAATATGTTTTCTGAAGGATTGTCATTGGTTTTTCGGTATATTATGTGTGACAGTCGTGGTGTTAAATATACATTTCCGATCTCCCACTATACACGTAATGTCACCTTTGGTCAGAAGAGTATTCATTCACATTCTACCGAGAATGTTAATCATGAGAAGACCTCACTACCAAATGGAAAGGAGAGGTAATCGTGTAATCATAATGTGTGCAATCATGGTTCCAATAATAATATTAATAATAATAATAMTGATGTAATGATTTAGTCTGATGGGAACATGTCATCGTATTATGGTGAGRTCGTGCAATGGGCTTGAGCTTAGAGATCAAGATTCAGCAGATCAGTTATTGCACAGCAACGATGTATTTCCTGCCAGGTATAATTTAGTTCAAARAATATCTCTATTCTAGTCACTATTTGTATTTGCTATATCAGCTGAACTTTATGTTTATATTCATAGGGATTTGGAATTGTAATTGTTGTATTTGGATGAATTGTAATTGGCTGTTGCGAAATACACGATCCGATAATA